GGAGCCCTGCAGGGGCCCTAGGATGACCCATCACTCAAATGCGTAGTTGTCAGCAACACTACTTGGGTTCAATTCCCGCCACCAAGAAGGAAATTGTGTCCGGCTAACAAAGCAATGGGCACAGATACAGTATCACGCAGACCACGCTGGTCTTGAACTGGATAAGCTAAAGATGATCCTGAACTCCTATCCTCCTCCCTTCGCCTCCCAAATGCTGGGGTTAGGCACACACAGCTCACACGTCAAGAAACACTATCCTAAACTGGGCAGTGGGGGCACACGGCTTTAATCCCAGCACTCAGGAGGCAGAAGCAGGCAGATCTCTGTGAACTGAAGGCCAGCCTGGTCTAACAGAACCAGTTCCAGGACAGCCAGGGCTGATACACAGAGAAACCCTGTCTCCAAAAACCAACAAACAAAAAATACTATTCTTCTTTTTCTTAACTTTATTATTGATGGAGGCATATGCCATAGTACACATGAAGAGGTCAGAGAAGAATTTAGAGGACTTGGTTCTCTCCTTCCGTCATGGGGTCCTGGGTTCTAGTGGCTGAACTCAGATCAACGGGTTTGGCAGTAGCCAGCCAATGCTGAGCGCTGAGCATCACACGCGTCCTCAAAAATACTGTTCTTCACTACACTTTCAAATGTAGAATCCCTGGGCCAGGTGCTGGGGCACTGCAACCCCAGCACCTGGAGGACTAGAACAAGGTCAGGAGTTCAAGGTCGCCCTCTGCTACTCTTCAGCTCATAGTCCAACCCTGTCTCATAAAATCTGATGTTAAGTAAGGGAGGAGGGTTATCATTGGCAGTGAGAGGAGAAGAGAGGGGATGGGGCAAACACGCTGAAAAGATATCAGAAACAGGTATGAAAGCGTCATGTGGGAGGCTGGAGAGATGGCTCAGTGGTTAAGAACACTGGCCACTCTTCCTGAAGACCTGGGTTCAATTCCTAGAACCCACATGACAGCTCACCGCTGTCTGTAACTAGCTTCAGTCCCAGGGGTTCCTCCATCCTCCTCCGGCCTCCTCAGGCACCAGGAGCAACCATGGTACACAGACACAGGCGGGTAAAACCCCCATCACGTAGTAAAGTGGGGAGAATATGTAATGTTAGCAAGGAGCCCAGCCTTCCCCAAGCTGACCTAGACGTTCTCCAAATCCTTTAAGGGCAGTGAGGTGACTCTAAGGGTGACAGCGCTTGCCTGAGGACCTGGTAGTTTGAGTTTGGTCCCTGGGATCCACATAGTGGAAGGACAGAAAACTCTGGCAAGCTGTCATCTGACCTTCACACGTCACCATGGCATCGGACCCCAGGCAGTGCGACATACTGGGACGCTGTCTCAAAATATTAATAATAATAATAAAATAAAATAAGCCAGTGAAATGCTGCTTCCCCTTTGGAACGTTCCAATCTCTTCGGTCGTGTATCCACCCCCATTCCACCCCCCATACCCACCCACCCTCCTGTCTCCTGCCTCCGTGATAGCCTACAACATTGAAAACCTGCGCTGCATTCCAGGCAAACCAAGAGTGATATAAACACTCTGGTTTCCACCTCTTGGAGAGAAGGCAATGCCAAAAGAGCTGAGCCTCTTTCTCCCCACCCAGGTCATAACCCCCTTCTTACTCCATAGAAGTGACAACCACAATCAGACACCCTACCCCCATGCTGGGATCTGCCTGGTACTGTCCTGAACTGGCAGGAGAGATTTGCATGTTCATATATTCAATAATATCTAACCTTTTTTAATTATTTTTTTGAGACAGGGTTTCTCTGTGGCTTTGGTGCTTGTCCTGGAACTCACTCTGTAGACCAGGCTGGCCTCAAACTCACAGAGACCCTCTTATCCCTGCCTCCTGAGTGCTGGCATTAAAAGCGTGTGCCACCACTGCCCAGCTCTAACCATGCTTTCTAATAACTCAACCGAGAACAAGTCCTTCTTTCTACACATTGGCCCCTCCTTGATTCCAATAAATATCACCAGGTCATGGAGAGTAAGGGATAATGGTAGAATCCGAATCCAAGGCTGATTCCCCATGAATCCCTATGGGATGCCCTTAACTGTTGTTCCTAAGCTGCCCTGACAAGACCAGCGAGGACCTTCCACCCACTCAAGGAGCTCTTAATCTCAGCTGGCCACACCTGTAATCCCAGGGTTCAAGTCTAGCCTGGAATGCATAAGATGCAGTTTCAAAAAAAAAAAAAAAAGTAGGACGTGCTGACACATCTTTAAAAATTCAGCCCTCCAGGAGGCAGAGGCAGGTGGATCTCAGTGAGTTTGAGACCAACCTGATTTACATAAAGAGGTCCAGGCCAGCTAAGGCTACAGAGTGAAACCTTGTCTCAAAAATAAATAAATAAAATAAGTAAATAAAAAGAGAGAAAAAAACCAAACCATCTACCATCTCCTGATCTCTGACCTTTCTACCCTAAGAATGCCTGTTTTTCTTCAGACATTGTCTTTCCCCCAGTGATCTCAACAGCTGAACTAAAGGCCCCCAACCCATTTCAAGGGCAAGAAGAGTGAAACTCTGGTGGATTTCATTAGAAATTTCCAGCAACTTCCATTTGTTCACTTGCAATGTTACTGGAAAGGATGCAACCCATGCCTGGACTCCCGGAGCTGGCCGGCAGTGTGTATACAGGAAGAAGGAGGGGATGGAGGGGTAGGAAAAAAGGGGAACTTCAGAAAATCAGCCCCCTAAGAACTGAGAAATACTTCCTTCCTTTCTGCAGCCACATGGAGGCTGTGCTGGGGTTTGGGACCCAGTCCAAGATGCAGTGGCAGAGGGCATCTCGATGCAAGGAAGGGCACGGTGGCCTGGATTCTCCACTCAACACAAGTGCATGGGGCCAAGTTCCCAAGAGGTTATGGATACACAGAGAAGGGTCAAGATGACCCCCAGGGAGGTAAAAAGGTGGGAACTGTTACCAACGAGCATAAAGAAACAAGAAAGCAATGTTTCCACCTGGGTGTGGTGGTGGCAACCCCTTCATTCTAGTTGCAGGGAGATCAGGAGTTCAGGGCTATCCAGGGCTATTTAGGCAATTTGAGGTCAACCTAGGTTACACGAGACCTTGTCTCAAAAAAAGAAAGCATTTATTCGTTGCATGGATCAGCAGTAGTTCAAATATTAGAACACACTCAGATCACACATGTGAGGCAAATTGGGGGTCCCATCTCCCAGTATAATCTAACACACAAAACAGACACTGACCCTGAAGCCAAGGACTAAAAATGGTTGGTGGTAACATTTTACTCAGTCCCAACAAAAACTGTTAAGTAGGCTGCAGAGAAAACCCTACAGCAAGCCAGTAGTAGCAAGTCACATAGTCAGTGTCCAACCCCTTCACTGAAGATGAAGGGATCCAAACCAGGCCCTAATCCAGCACCATGGCCCAAATTTGTAATCCTAAAACTCAGGAGGCTGAGACAGGGAGGTGACTGTGAGTTCAAGGTCTTCCTGTACTATAAAGTCAGAGTCTAGAGCAAACGCTTCACTGTTTTTTTGGTTTTTTTGTTTTGTTTTGTTTTAGTTTGTATGTTTTTGTTTTTCAAGACAGGGTTTCACTGTTTAACTCTAGCTGTCCTGGAACTCACTTTGTAGACCAGGCTGTCCTAGAACTCACAGAGATCTGCCTGTCTCTGCCTCCCAGGTGCTGGGATTAAAGGTCTGTGCCACCGCTGCCCGGTTCTTCACATTTTTAAAGGTGTATTTTGTCTCTTGTGTACGAGTGCTGGTCTACATGTATGTCTGCACACACACTCCGTGCATATGTCAGGTTCCCTGAAACAGGAGTTATAGACAACTGTGAGGTCATCTGAGTGCTGGGACCCAACCCTAGGTCCTCTGCAAGAATAAGTGTTTTCTTTTTTGTTGTTGTTTTGTTTTTCAAGACAGGGTTTCTCTGCAGCTTTGGAGCCTGTCCTGGAACTAGTTCTTGTAGACCAGGCTGTCCTAGAACTCAGAGTTCTGCCTGCCTCTGCCTCCCGAGTGCTGGGATTAAAGGCGTGCGCTACCACCACCCGGAAAGTGCTTTCTTTTTATTGGATGTTCTGTCTGCATGTTTTTGTGTCCATACTTATGTGCATGCTTAGTGCCCTCAGAGGCCAGAAGAGGGCGCTGGATCCTCTGGAATTGGGATTACAGACGGTTGTAAGCCACTGTGTGGGTGCTCCAAGTTGATCCCAGGTTGAGCCATCTCTCCATCTCCACCAGGTCCTCACCACCTTTTGAGAAAGGACCTATGTAGTCCTGGAACTCTGTAGCCCAGGCTGGCCTTGCACTCAGGGCCATTTGATTCTGTCCAGCAGGGTGCTTGTCCTCTTTTTGACTAGACGGTCCCCTGTGTCCCAGGCTGAACTTGAACTCCTGATTCTCAAGCTTTCCAAGGTTTACACCAGCATACCTGCTATTTGGCACATTTTGAGATCAGTCCTATGCTAATCTTCAATTTCTGGACTCAAGTGATTCTGCTAGACAGGTGGTTACTACCTGACTTCAAAATCTACCCCTGTGTAGCTGGGCAAGGTTACACACATCTTTAATCTCAACACTAGGGAAGGCACAGGCAGGATCTAGGAGCTCCAGGGCAGCCAAGGCTACATAAAACTGTCCCAAAAAACCAAAACCCACAAGTGCTGCCTGTAATCCCAGCATTTGATAGTGATAGCAAGAGAATGCTCAAAGCTGGTCCCTCACATGATGCCATGTTACGGAAAATGAGTCCCAACCGAGTCTTATCCAACATCTACAATTTGGCTGCACCTGCTTTATAAGGGTGATGATCCCCAAACTTCAGGACCTTGTTTTGGGGCATGTTTTCTTAGTGGAGAGATTGCCTCACAGGCAGGGAAGGCGTGCATTCCATTGCAGACTGGGTTGTCCAAAAAGTCCTGTACTTCTGTGTCCCACCAGGAAATCAGATTCCGTGCCTTTTCTACCTGGCTCTGGACCAAGTATACATCTTTGTATGAATGAACGGAAAACACAAGTTAAGACAAAAGGTTTTTATTCAAAAAATGCCAAGTATAAAAAAAAAAATAAGATCTCTTTTCCCCTGTACAGTATTTCACTCAGATAAAACCAGCAGGCTACACGCTGCTCAAACAGGATCCGGGAGGCACATCATGCCGGCCGGAACTGCCTTTCTATGTACAGTCAGCAATGCCCCTTCCCAGACAGAGCCCAGACCCACTCCAGTAAGCAGGCAAGGGGCCCCCCACAGAAGGGACAACAGCAGCGGTCCCACCGGAGTCCCTTCACCCCAGCAAGCATTGCAGCCCTCCCCAAAAGGTCCCCCAAGTCAAGAGGAAAGAAAAAAAAAAACAAGAAAGAAAAGAAAAACAGAACATGACAATAAAACCCTAGGCAACAGCCAGTGGAAGCTTGGAACAGGAAGGGAACCAAATAAATAAATAAATAAATACATTAACATTGACTTCCAGGCCAGAACTGCCATCTTTCAGAAACAAAACAAAACAAAAAACCCCAACACATAAAATATAACTTAAAGGCATTTTTTTCTTTAAATTGCATCAACTACAATCCTTTCGCAGGCTACCATGCCGACTGTACAGACATTTACAGCTTGTCTGGTTGTTGCATTGGTTGTGCATTCTGTGTGAGGTCTTGGCTTTGAAACAGTTAAGTAGAAACCAAAAAGGAAGACCAGTTCCCTTGGGAGTTTTACTGAAGGAGGCAGAAAAAGGGCAGGTGGCTCAGCAGTCGGCCCTGCAGCCTCTTCCACGGCACCTTTCACAGGAAGTGGGCGAGGGGAACAGGGGAAAGAGTAGGGAACCAAACCCAGGCAGATTCTTGGAGAAGCAGCAGGTAAGAGGCAAGTTCAAGTATTTCTCCCAGCACAGCCGGAGTCCCCACAGAAGGCACTCAGAGGAGTTGGAAGAGGTGACAGGGACTTAAATATATGGTGCTAGTTTTTGTTGTTTTTTTTTTTTTAAATCCCACCCCCAACATGTTATTCCCCTACCCTAGCCCATCCTGGTGACCCGAAGTCTCCAGGTCACTAAAGGTCTATGGCAGGGTTCTGACCCACTCCCACCCCCCACCCTAGGATTCTGCAGAGCCCAGCAAAACTCGACACTGTGAGAGCGTCTATGGGGGGCATGGGGGCCTGGGAAATGAAGTAGCATCTCTTTCCCCTGTGGGAGGCTGCTCCAGGAACCTGGAGTCTGGAATGAGCTGTCATTGCTGTCCCTGCAGGAAGCAGGGTCCTGGAAGCCAGAGACAGCTGTCCCGCCCGGGAGTGTCTGACAGAAAGGCTGCTATTTGCTGGGCGCTGGCGATAGGCTACGCAGGTGAATCTCGGCGGTTGCCTGGGGTAGGAGGACATCCTGCATCCACGGATGGTTCTGAATTTCTTCGAAGGATGGTCGATCTGAAGGTCTCAGGGCCAGACACCATCTAATGAGATGCTGACATTCTGCAGGAGGCAGGACAGATGGAGGTTAAGGATGACTCACTCACTCAACTTGTTTTTGAGAAGCAAAGGTCTTCCCAAGGCCCAAGTCTGGGTTTCTAAAGAGGCATGGACTGTGTTCAGAACACTGCTGGGTCCTCTCAGCGGGAAAGGACCAATACCGAAAGCCTGCGTCTGTCTTCAGTTAAAAAAAGTGGCTCCCCTCTTAAACCTGTGGTTTCAAACTTCAAATAGCTGGGGCCTTTCCCACGACACCCACTCACCAGAAATAGGAAGGATGACAAGGGTTTGATGAGCCACCACCGAACAAGATGAGGTGATTCAACTCACCTACCAACTTATAAACACTGCCACTACTCAGGATGAGGTCATGGGGACCACAGTATTTAGAGAACTATTGCCTTAAGGGGAGGTAGCTTAAACATTCCTTGACTTCTTTTTTTTTCCTAAACTTTGTTAAGAGATCAGGTCCACGCTGGTAGTTAAACTTTACAGGGTCTGGTGGTTGGGTGGGATGGATATAAAACCTGTTCCAATTCCAGCATGACCAAAACAAAAACAAAGAAAAAGGGGAAGGGCTGAGACAGGATTCCAAGACCAGCTGGAACTCTGAGTTAAGCCCTGTCTCCTAATCAAATCAGAGGCAGGCCAGGGCCCTCCTTAGTGGCCCCGTCTCCTCAAAAGAAGAATAAATGAGTAAAAATGATGGGTGGGGCATAACCCCCACACTTTCTTCTACAAAGTACCAGGTTTAGTGGTTCACTCTTGTAATCCCAGCACTGGGGGGAGGCAGAGGCAGGAGGATCTGAGTTTGAGACCAACCTAGTCTACAGAGCTAGTTCCAGGACAGGCTACAAAGCTACAGAGAAACCCTGTCTCAAAAAAACTCAAGAGTGGGAAGCCTTCTCAAAACCAGCCTTCCAAATATAATAACCCCAAGTGAGTGTCCCAACCACCAAAGGGCTTCGAGGAAGTTACCTGAAGAGACCCTTTGCCTGAAGAACACTTGACCCTTGATGATCTCCTCGTCATGCTCAAAGGGAATATCTCCGCAGACCATGTCGTAGAGCAGAATCCCCAGGGACCAGACGGCTGCCGACCTGCCATGGTAGCGATGATAGCGAATCCACTCAGGAGGACTGTACACTCGGGTTCCTGCAAGCCAAGGGAATTGAAAGAAAACAGCCTTAGCAAAAATAAACAAAGCAAACTAGTCCAAGTAGCTTCTTGGAAAAAAAATTTTTTTTTTGAAACAAGGTTTCTCTGTGTCTGTAACCCTGGCTGTGCTGGATGAAACTCCCTCAAACCCTGGCTGTGCTGGATGAAACTCCCTCAGCACGCTGACCTTGAGATCTGCCTGCCCCGGCCTAGAGAGCTAGGGTTAAAGGCATGTGCCACCAGCACCACCCGGCTTTAAAAGACATTTTTTTCCTAACCCTAAACTAAAATCCTATATAACTCCCTCTCCAACAAAAGTCACACAAAAGCTAAAGTCTGGGGCCCTGGGCAGTAGTAAAACTCACTGCCTTGAACTGCACAGACCCTGTCCAGGACTGTCAGATCAGATTCTCATCTAGACCCGACTGGGAGGGGATCCTTATACACACTCTAGTCAGGGTGCCCTTTGGGAAGCTTTCCTCGGGGGTTCTGCGCAAGTAAAGCACACCTACACTCTTTCCTCCCCAGAAGGGAAAGGCAGAGTTGCAAGGCTGGTTTCAGACAGACCACGTGATTCCTGTTTACAAACTTTGGATAGTAAAAAAAAAAAA